GTAGAAAATTTGTTGAAGAGATTGAATTTTATTCCGGCATCAGTTTTCATCACCGACCTTCCCTACTTGGATTTCCTTGACCGGGTCCACAAGGCGGAGTTGAAGCTACGAACCAAGGGTTTGTGGGAGGTACCACACCCATGGCTCAACCTTTTTGTCCCCAAATCAAGGATAGGCGACTTTGATAAGGGCGTGTTTAAGGGCATCTTGGGCAATAAAACGAGTGGGCCCATTCTAGTCTACCCCATGAACAAAAACAAGTAAGTTTCCTTGTGCATGCCTGAAACGTGCATGTCAATTATCATGATCTTCTATTACTTGATAATTATAAATTATTTTGTATTATATGTCCTTTTATTAAAAGGTGCTGCATTGCGTGTTTAAATTGAGAAAAATTGAGAGACAAGAAAACAAAAGGATCTTTTTCTTAAAGAGGAGTAGGAGGCTAAACCTTCATTTAATTTAAATTATAGAGGTAGGCTTCTCATTTGTCCGCAACAAGTCTTAAAAGTCTCAAATTTTAATTTTTATTTACATATATATATATTAAAAGAGTAAATGTATAATCTAGTTTGGTAACCTAATGACCACCCACTTGAATATGTGAACTAAGGCAGCATGTCTTGGATTTCAAATCCAAAATTTACTTCTCCTCCCCAATCTTTTTCCCTCATGTTAGAAAAAAAAAAAAAAAAAAGAAGAAGAAAGAATAGATGTATAATTAATTTGGAAAAAGTGATGTATCAAGTTAGGCTTATTAGATGACAGCCAATGAGATAAAACCAGGTAGACTCAAGAGTATGGTGATCCTGAGAGTGAGACATGACCATGAGATATAACATGCTTCATAGACCAAATAGGTAGGGAACATGCAGAAGTCCTCAGCTGCGAAACAAAGGAATGTTTTCTGTGTTAATAATTGTAATTATTAATTAATAAATTAATATTATTTAATATTATTTAAAAATTAAAAAATAATAATAATAACCTTAACATTTTTCATGCCGGAAATAACAACACCCATGATGACCCACAAACCCATTTTTTCCTTTCCCTTTTCCTTTTTCTTTTTTACCAACAAATTCGACGGTAATGTTGGAAAGGGTCTTCCAAGTTCCAACTGAGAAGATCCTGGTGTCGGAAGATCTTCTCCGGTTGGACCCATCGTCTGTCTTGTTACAAAGTGAGCTCCAAAAACACAGCAGTTTCTACAGGTAACGACTAATGGCGGGTCCCTTTGATTCTTTCAAAACAATCAAATCCCAACTACCATAATTTGGACGGTACTCAGAATGCTCCAAAAACATGAAGTTTTTCCTTCTATCCTTTTTTGGCTAATGTTTTTTACCTGCATGCAGGTGGGACCGGCGGAGCTCAGCGGTAACACCAGAGGAGGATGTTTTTTACCTGGTGGCCCTACTTAGATCGGCACTGGATGATAGGGAGGAGATACATAGCTTGGAGTACCTAAAGAAACAGAACCGAGAGATCCTCAGATTCTGTAACGACGCTGGGATCAGGGTGAAGCAGTATCTGCCTCATTACACCTCACAGGAGGAATGGATGGAGCACTTTGGGGATGGATGGGATCGATTTTATCAGAGGAAAATGGAGTTTGATCCCAGGAAGATTCTAGCCACAGGGCAACAAATATTCAGACCGAACTACTTAACCTCATCTACCATGGCTTCATGATGATGACTATAGATGAGACCAATCAAAAGCTAGAGAAGGACTGCCATTCAGTACCACTGACTTCTTGTTCTTGCACATATAATGGGATAAAAAGGGACAAGCAAGGAACCAAGGACTAAGGAAAAGATAGAAAGATCGTTTTTTTATTTTGAAACAAAATTCAAATCAGAAGATGGCGAATTGGAGAAGGGATTGTTTTTACCATGTCCTGGAGGTCTGGTACGGCTAAGGGGTTGCAGGGTCCCATCATCTTGCAGTGCACATGTGGTGTTATAAGCATTGAGGAGCCTGTGATCGCGACCCACCTTTCTCCAACTGGTTTGCCGGCTGGATCTTGTCTTTGGAAGGGACAGCTCCAGCTATGTCCAGCATGGATTGGCGTTTAACTCTTTCACCCTTTCTAGAATCAGTAATTAGCTACATTTGTAAATAAGGAAATAAAGTAGTAAGCAAAATAGGAGGGGAAGAGCTATTAGCATCTTCATTTTCGTACATCAGTCCCCTTGCTTGCAGCTGTATGATTCACTTAGTTGTCCAGACTGTCGTTTAGAACTGGGTAACAGAGAGTAAATAGGACATGACTGCAACATCATATCAGGACAAAGGTTAACACAAAGCTAGAAAGCAATGACATGAAATACATAGCAACATGTTCTAAATCATAGTAGTACATGATAGCAACAGGCATTCAAACCTAAAAAAAGTCACACAAACCAACATTATTATAGCTGGAACTACAAAACACCAAATAAAAACAATTTGAATACCATCTACTTTATATCAGAAACCGTTTGAGAAGTTCAACTTATCTTGAAATATAAAGGGAAGCTGATTATTATTGAAAAAAAGAAGGAAATAGAACTTGAAGCCACATAAATGCAACTTAAAATAACTCACTTCTGCCAGCATTACTAGGGAGAGCAAGAGTTCAAAGGAGTTGTAACTATTGATTCACTCAGTAGATCCATCTGTCAAGTTCTATTTGAAATTGGTACATGCTACATTGAAGACCTTCACTGGTTAGAGGTATATTATGAGTCAGAAAAATTGAATTAGTCATTTCCATGCCTATCTGTTATAGCAAAGAACCATCTAAGATATTTACCCAAAAAAAAAAAAAAAAAGAACCATCAAAAATCTATTCTAGTTTGAACATATGGATTGATATGAGTTGTGAGAGAATTTCAGTAAAATTGAAAGCATAATTTAAGATTTTTGTTCCTTGACATTGATGGGGCTAGCGGTCTTGATCTGCTTGCAGAACGGACTTTCCTTGCTATGGCTTCTACAGCAACACATTCTATAAATTCGAAAACAGAGGCCGAAGGCAAAATTGGCTCAGCATTGGCTTTCCCTGTTCAAAGTAGCAATCATAAAAGTCAGAAGGGTAATTTATCATTTTATATTTTAGTTACATCAGACACTTCTAGTTTTGTGTTAGAACTGCAAGTTCAAGCAACGAGTATATAATGTTACTTACAGAATGATTAGCATCAATTTAAATCCTTTGCCTCAATTTGCTTTCCAAATTTTATCAGAGCAAGTGAACATATTGTTTTCTTTTTCATTGATGTTCCTTCAACCACCAATTTGACTCCCTAGAATGTACATCATATTTGTCAAAACTGACATAACTCTAACATCCAAAGGGTTCCAAAATATGCAATTCGTTGCAAACTTTTAGCATATACATTAAACTTGAATTTGATAAGAGTAATAAACCTAATGTAGAAGAAAGCATTACGAAAGAAAGACCATACCCACTGGAGATCAATTGTCTTAACTCTCAAGCTGACACTCTGATGGTGTTTCCTCTACACATTTTGCCTTGCCTTCACTCGAGTGTAATTTCTCCCTTTGGTTGGCATGTTGAAAATGCTTCTTTGGCTTCTCCCAAAGTGCCCCGCCAAAACTGACAAGGAATAATCATCTTTGTAAGTAAATCATGGATCAAATGAGTAAAAGTCCAACTCATCAAATAAATTGATGCCAGATCTATCAAAAGGTATTAAAAGAAGTAATTTTCTATTTGTCAAAACATGCTAGCTTGTCTGATTCATATTTTGTAAAAAAAATTTAAAAAAGACTGTCATCATTGCAATCACATTATTGTGAAATAACCAACGAAGGTTATATCCAAGTAGCATCATATAGTAAGGAACAGACTCTAGACTTAAGAGTCAAATTATGCAATTTCTGGATATACAGTCAAACTTTAAAATGCCTGCCTAGTGACGACCAAAAAGATATCAACAGCAAGCCACAGCATGGTACCCCATCTTTGAACCTCAAAATCAAAAGATTTGAATTTCATGTCTTTGAAAAGAAATTTAAAAGCCACAAGTTTTAGCTTATACTTAGTAAGCTTATGCTCAGAAACATCAAAACAAATCTCTTAAATACTTGAAAAAGCAACATACACAGGATTTAAAAAGTAGCGTATGGAAAACTAACGTCTTTGAGTATTTTTGTCATCTCCTGTGCTATACAACACATGGTCTACAATGAGATCAACAAATAAACCATCATAATAAGTCATAGAGAGCGATTCATTTCTTGCTCCTCAATAACACTTGTTTCAAATTCATAGATGCAATTAAGAAGGAAAACATAGTGAATGTTACAGTCTATAAGCAAATTATAGTGCAAGAAATTCTGATATATTTAAACGATATGTGAACCATAGAAGTTATGCAGACAAAATTTTCACCTTAAAACACCAAAAATTGATGAACTCTCTTCAAGAAACTGACAAAGCTGATGAAGAGGAAAATAGAATATTTGGGTTCTAGCTTCATTTGTAGAAACTATCAACCTCTCCTTCCATGAACCGGCATGTTTAAAAAGAAATCCGACTGCAGATTTGTAGGTAACATTAGCTCATAGCTCTCATGAAAACACTGACAGTGCATCCCCAAAGAAACATGTCAGACTACATCACAAGCATCATTTCCAATTTCCATAAAAAGAATTACCAAATCTAAACTCATCTGTGGCCAACCCGGAGGCAGAAAGAGCAGTGACCACAGCAGAAGTCCCTGGAATTGAAATAAGTAATAACAGGAATGTTTTCATCAACACACAACTTTGCCTGAAATAAGATCCTAAATATCACCTGTTACATTTCTTCATTAAATACCAAAATACACAGCTCAACTACATTTTAGGACAGACGAAACTTTAGGCACTTTTATATCATAGATATACTTACAAACTCTCCTTCTAAAGTTGTTTCTGTACTTCAATGGCGAAATAATATAGAGCATTTGAAGTGCGTACCGGAAGGTATCTCCAAGGTTTCCGATTGACTTTCCTGCTGCGAGAGACAATCCATTCCAGGCTCGTGAGGTCCCCGCCGAGAGGTTAAACAACCGGAATTAATCATTTGATTGCCATTAGATTAGACTAGAAGTTGAAAGAAGACGAAATAGGGGAATCAATTAGAGCCCTTTTTATTTTATGTACGATTTTCCCATAATCTGATCAGATGGCCATTTGCCTTTGGGTCTTCACCATTTTCGGCCTGGAACGACAAAGGCCTCTAGTTACCCTATTGTCAGACTGAGCCGGGTTGCTTATTCGGGCAGAGATCCAACCCATTTAAATTTATAACTCAATTTAACATATTGAACAAAATTTAGGGACCGTTTGGTACAGCGGTTAAAATTTAGCGGATAGCGGATAATGAATAGTGGATAGCGGTAGCGGGTAACGGGTAGCGGGTGGTTGTTAATGGATAGCGAATGGCAGATAGCGAATGGTAAATAGCAGATTCAATAAATATAACTGTTTGGTTATACAATAGTTAACGGTTGTTGTTTAACATTAAATGACTAAT